GGTGTCTCTCCCTGGCACTTTGTTTCCTCATGAGCCATGGCTGAGGACAGTGACGGTCTCTGCCCCCTCCCCACCTAAAAAAGCCGGGTACAGGCAGAGCTCACTGGCCACACTGTGCTGTGGCACAGAAGGCGTGTGCCTACTGCAAGGAAGCTCTAGGAGGTTCATGAAGGATACAGTCCGGCTGTCAGTGATCATTCACTGCGTCCCCTCAAGCTTTCCTGGAGTCAGTGGGAGTCTGAATGATCCAAGACCTCAGGAGTTGATTGGGAGTCCAAGCAATCACATTACAGCCCCATCTCTGTCACAAGACATGCAGAACTAGCACTCCACCCTAGAGGTTGAGGAGGTTAGTTTGAGCAGGCTTCTACACCTGCATAGGTATAATAGGGTAATTTAATCTTCTGGGGGTCAGTGTTAAGGAATTGGACACTACTAAAATAAAGTGGATTAGCTGTGAAATTCTGACTTGTCCAGAAATGAGTGTGCACAAGACATAATTTATTTTCATCTGTCATCTTTTTTTCTATTCTTGATGTTGGCTCCACAAACAGATACTGGGGTAAATTAATCCCTGAAGTAAACACTATGTAGCTTCAGTGGAGTTACACTAAGAGTGAATTTAGTCCATTATTTCAAAAGCAAAATAATTTGCAATAGCCTGCTGACTTGAAGAGATAAGAGAGAAAAATGCTTTTGTATCCAGTACGTTTCGGAGACGCATCGATTGTCGGTAGAATTACTTTTTATGGGCTTTAATCGACAAGATCATTTCTCATCCATTGTCCTGCATTGTGAGTTGAACTCTGATAACATAAATGTTATTCAAGGCAGGAAATGTAATACGACACTGGAAATGTCTTCAGTTTCTTTATGATTATCTCTCTTTTCTGGGCTCTCAGTCAAACCCTGTCAAACTCTTCCTGAGTTAGGACTAGACACACTTGCATTATTCACTCAGCACTAGGCCCTAAACATTTTCAGCAAGCACGGTCTGTACAACTATTTTTATAATGTCGTCTCAGAAGGAAATGGGTGGTTCCCCAAGAAAGTTGTTTTGGATGTCTCCTCGTTGATTTTGGTGGTGCTTCTCAATATGATTGGGACGTTTATTCTTGGCATTACCAAGAGACTGTCACAATACGTGTGCTTGTGTGGTCTGATGATGTGGTCTTTACGATATTTTGGGGACATCTTCCTGCAGCAGTTTAAGGTTTTTGATCAGTGTGGGGAATTTAGTATCTCGCTGGGCCAAGTCTCCAAGTGGCATGGGCAAAGTGACAGAGAAAAGTAGCTTTCTGCACAAACACTTGTAGTGTCTTTGTAAATTCAGGTATATCTTCAAGGATTTTGAAATCTCTCTTGTGATTAATGTTGAGGGTGTCTAGAGTTCCCTTTTTTGGCAGAGTAGGTTTCCTCCCTAGACTGTAAGAGGGAGTTGTGTGTGATGGTACTTGGGAGAGCTGTATTAGATTTTTTCATTCAATGCTCAGTGCCCAGTTTCTCCCATTGTTCTCAATTGTTGGGGAAGAGGAATTCTCCCTTGTTCTCAAAGGGAGATGCTGGGTGCTGAGAACATTTGAAAATCTGGACCTTACGCTCTCTGCAGCCTGTCCTGAGGTGACATGTACTCAGTTAGTATGAAGATAGTTGAAATCCACATTCACTCTCATTTAATTAGCACTAATGTCACACTGTCTTTTCTGTATCCTTTTTTTTTGTCCTTCAGCATCTGATGAAGTGAGTTGTAGCTCATGAACGCTTATGCCCTAATACCCTTATAAATTCATTCGTATTTAAAGTGCCACCAGACTCCTTGTTTTTTTCGCGTTGTTATTGAGGTTTTTGCTGGGGTTTTTTGGGTAGCCTCTCTGATCTCCCTTAGCATTTCACAGCCACTGTCACTGTCCTGGTCAGGTGGTAGGTAATGTATCTCTACTGCTATATTCATATTATTAGAGCATGGAATTACTATCCATGGAGGGTCTATGGAACACTTCGGTTTGTTTAAGATCCTCATTCCACCAAGTTTCTGTGATGTCTCTTATATCAATGTCCTTGTTCAATATGAGGCACTCTAGTTCACCCATCTTATTATTTAGACTTCTAGTATTTGTATATAAGCACTTTAAAAGCTTGTCACTATTTTGCTGTCTGACATTACATGATGTGATTGAATGGGACTCTCTTTTATTTGACTGTTTCTCATCAAATCTTACCCATATTTTATAATCTTCCATCCTCTCCTTTTTACTAGGGCATAGAGAATCTCCATTAATAAGGGATGTCTCAGTCTGATCCATGTGCTGCTCCTCACCTGTTGGTTTCCCCCCAGCCCTTAGTTTAAAGCTACTCTATGTATAACCTTTTTAATTTTAAATGCCAGCAGTCTGGTACCATTTTGGTTTAGGTGGAGCCCATCTTTCCTCTATCGGCTCCCCCTTTCCCAAAAATTTCCCCAGTTCCTAATAACTCTAAACCCCTCCTCCCTACACCATGCTTTGAGACCCTGCGCTTCTGCTTATTTACCTGGCCCTATGCGTGGAATTGGAAGCGTTTCAGGGAACACTACCACTGAGATCCTGAATTTCAATCTCTTACCCAGCAGCCTAAATTTGGCCTCCAGAACTTCTCTCCTCTCCTTTCCTATGTCATTGGTACCTTTATCTACCACGACCACCAGCTCCTCCCCAGCACTACACGTAAGTCTATCTGGATGTCTTGAGAGATTGGCAACCTTTGCACCAGGCAGGCAAGTCACCATGTAGTTCTCCCAGTCATTGCAAATCCAGCTGTCTACATAAGACCGTAAGAATTAAAGAATTCATTTGCCCCTAGACCAGGGTTTCCCAACCTATGGGTCAGGACCCAAATATGGGTCACCATTACATTTCAAAAGGGTTGCCAAGTGTCTCCTCCGGTGGCTCTGCCCTCCCTCCTCCCCCCATTTTTGAATTGCCTTGGGTCACCAAGTCTTCCTGAATTGTCAAAATGGGTCCCCATCTGGAAAAGGTTGGGAACCGCTGCCCTAAACCCAGGGCTCTGTAGCATGTGGAATCAGCTCTGTAACAAGAATGGTTTCTTTCAAGAGTTGTCACTGAGCAGTCTTGCCGAACTAGAGGAAACGTAGCAGCTGTTCTTAGCGGGAGCACATATTGGGATGGAAATGGAGCCAAACAGTAGACTTTAAACATTTTATTTTCCAGTAAATCCAGTACCTGTTCCTCTCCACTTAATCCGCCTCTCGACTAACGTCCTTTATTTCACTGCCTCCTAAACCCCCATACTGATGAATAAAGGATTCATACTTCTTTCTGCACATCTGAACAGTCAATCCATTAGGCCTTTGGTGGTTATTTTAATTAAAGTACTAATCCATTCAGAATATAACAAGCCAGTTGAGCCATCTGGGCTGATTAATATTGCATTATTAATGGACTGATTAAATCTTTCCACTTGCTCCAAGTTCTAAGTGCAGCCAAATATTACCACTCAAAAGCTGCTTTACACAAATGGCTAAGTTTGAGTTTGACTTCATAGGAGCTAGTTCTGGACTGGTTTAGTATCTGGAGGCTCTGTTCGCTGACCAGTAATTAGGCCAGATCTTTGATCCAGACTGAATTCCCTTTGCAGCACTTGAGTATCCTAAGGATGCAGCTGGAGAGCCTCTCATCCTAAGGGAATTCCACAGTGGTGTATGCTCCCCCCAAGCCTCTGCATAGACTTAGCTGATTAGACTCTGCCACGCTATTCTAGTAGGGTAAATGTCTTAGAAAATAAAGCATTAGACATATTTATTCAAACAACAAGGCTGTTAGTGTACATGCTTCAGGGTGTTGCCGATTACCAGCTGGGGTCAGGCAGGAACATCTGTCATGGTGCATTATGAGTCAGCTGTTGGAGAGAGGACTGGCTGCAGATACTAAGGATCCCTAGGACTCAAAATCGTGCACCTTTAGTCTCTGCTAAAATCTCTAATACCAGCTGAGCTGTGGGCCATGAAAGCAGTCATGACTCAGGCTAATGGCATTTTCATGTCTATGGAGAAACCCACTGATCATTCCAGTCTGTTCCTTTTCTGCTTGCAGATGTAGCTGCACATTTGGCTGTGAGTGGTATAGAAAAGGATATTTAAAGTCAAGTCTTTTCTGTGGAGGATCTTAGCTGTACTACTTCAAAAGCCTCATTCAGCAGACACTGCACCTTGGACTGAAAAGGCAGCTGGCTGCTGTCAGACTGGCGGGTTAGGATCCTTAATGTTCCCTTATTCCTTTTAAACTGATTATACTTAAACATAATTATTATAATTAAACAGAGGGAAATTTGGCTATTTTTTCTCTCTTGTTGGCACTGATTTAAGGAGGAGTCTTAATATGCCTCTCAGAAGGTAGTTATCTTATAATTACATGGCTATCTCTTACATTGTGATCCCCTGCTTGATTTATGCTAGAGACAGAGGCTTAGCTCAGTATGCTCTTAACGCTAGAAAGGTGTCTCAATAATATTTTATCACCGGTTCCACCCAACAGCCTTAAAACTCCTAATACATTTTAATTCTCAGCACATACTTCAGAGGTAGATACAGTTATCCACATTGTACAGAGGGAGAAACTGAGGCACAGAGGGATGAGCACTTACCCACAGCAAATCCCTGGCAAAGCCAGAAATTGTACCCAGAGCTCCTGACTCTAACCACTACAGATCATGGCCTCTTGGCCTGATAACATACAAGACCTTTCTTAAAACCTAGAGGCGTCCAAGCCTTTCATTGTGGATCAATAATGCAGCGTGTGGAGCGCAGGAATTGAGCAGCCAATGGGAATCTGCTTGCGGCCGGGGCAATGATGAATCATGGATATTTTGGGGGAATTCAGTTTTTCAGACAGTCTCCCCATCTGTCCAGGCTCCCTGTGGCTCCCATGTGCAGGGCTCTGCTGCTCTGGCATAGTTGGGCCTCAGTGGGACTCATCATACTCACAGGACTGTGTTGTTCTTGGCAGGTGAATGGCCACCTGGACTACATGAAGCAAATGGACACTATCCTGAAGGCTGTGGGCATTAAAACCAAGGAGTGTCGCCTGGAAGAGAAGGGGAATCCCTGCCTTCTCTCCGGCCAGGAGGAGAAAAGGCAGCAGCCAGCACCGGGTGAGCATCAGGAAGAGGAATGCACCTTGGGAGATGATGATTCCATCAGCCACGATCACTGGTCCTGGCAGCCTGTATCCAGTGAAGGGTTGCACCCTGGTGACCTGAACTCGGGCCTTGCACAGCCTGAGGTTTCTGAATTTCCAGGTTCTTTGGATGCCAGCAGAGACCAGAACCCAGCTGGGCTGGACAAACCTTTACCAGCCAACCCTCTGCCCTGCCCAGATTCTGCTGCTCATGCCCAGGGAGGAACCTTCCTCCCTCGCCCAGGCTATTCAGACAATAATGTCCTCAAAACGCAGGCAGCACACCAAGGTCTGGACTGAGTCCCTGCCTCCGAATGCATCACTGGCTCTTCCCTTGGTCGCAGCGGCATGAAAGGCATCTACAAAACCCCTCCCTTCACAACAGCACTGTCGCCATAGGCCTGGGCTCGGCTCACTTCCTACAGAACATTCATCCCAAGACATGTGGCGCTATAGGACGCTCCCGCACATGGATGTGCCAAGCTAGTTGTTAGCAAAGGTAATAACGTCCATACAGTGCTCTTGGGTTAGAGAGGCACGAGACCCATTGAACAACCCGGAGTTGTCTGTCTGGAATGGAAACACATCGGGGATCCATTTGAATGGGTTATGTTGGGAGGATGCGTTGCAAGGATTAAAGCCTTTCTCACGTGATTGTACCACACGGCGAGCATCCCAGTGGACGGGGGCGAGGTGCTGGCACAGTGACCAGTGCTGCCCTGTGCATGGTGGCTGCCTCCTCCCATTTTCTATACCGGTACGTCGCCATACACTCCATAATGGGGAACGCCAGCCCCCAGTGCTTAGAGGCTGTTCTGGAAAGGCCCAACCATGGACAGTGGGTGAAGGTAGGCCTGGGGGAGGCAAACCCACAACCCTGCCCCCAGCCCCGCCCCTTCTGCTCAGGCCCTGCCCCCATGGGAGCCAGGCCAACACACATACACCCAGCATCTCAGAGAGGTAAGGCAGTGCGCAGTCTCAGTTTCCCTGGGCCCGGAGCACCAAAAGTATGGCCCCTTGGGGCAGCAATACTCCGCCCCCAGTAGGCCTACAGCAGGCGTTCTGGGGTCGGAGTCTGGGTGAGGCCAGGCTGGCGGTTTGGGAATCCAAAGCCTTTCCCTGCCTCGCACACCCACCGCCCGCAGGCCCGTGGTCAGCCAGGTGGCTTTGATCTAACCAGGGAGCAGCAATCTGCTTTCCAGAGGGGAACACTGATTGCTGTGATAGGTGGGGCTGAAATCCCACAGCCGTGTCTGCAGCCTTTCAGGTTTGTTCTGTTCCCTCTTCCCCCTCCCACCCTGCTACCCATGAAAAATTCATGACTCGGTGGGAGTTTGACATGAGACGTGGGCCTTTCTCCTGTCTCCCTCTAGCTTCTACTGCTGCCCTAGGAGGGGCTTGTGCCTGGCTGGTAGGACTGTGGTATCAAGGGTGAGCCGCCTGCTCCTCTTCTCCCCTCAGTGTTTTGGTGCACAACCTAGCACAGAGAGCGACGTACCAATGTACTGACCATGTCACTGGTGCTGTGTAGAGATGCTTTGACAAGGTGCGGCGCTCTCCCTATACTGGACCAAAGAGAACACGTCAGCTGCAGCTTTCAAGACTCACTGACACTGGAATATAGCATAGGAGCATTACTGGATCAAAACCTTCAGAGCTACTGCCGATGGGCTCTCCCATATGGGGAGGGGCAGCTTCTCAGCTGCTGTGAATCAGCATCGCGCCCCTCAGGAACTGATGTACACCAGCTGAGGCTCTGGCCTTTACCCATTGGGGGAACAACTGTCTCCTTTACGGGACAATGCTGCTGTACCTAGGGAACCAGGTGACTTCCTGGGCAGTGACAGAGTCTCTTGGAGACCAAGAACTCACCTGTTCGGTAGTCTCATGAAGAAATTAAAAGATTTGTTTTGTATTGTTGGGGTTTGTTGTTTGTTTGTTTTTTATTGCGGCCAGGTATGTTTGGCATTTTACGTGTACTGTTGGGCTTGATTCACTTCTCAGATTTATTAACCAGCATCTCAGATTTATTAACCAGCCTTTCATCTGGAGGCAGCGAATAGGGGGAAGATACCCAGATTCGTTCATGCTTCTGCTAATGGCTGGGTGCGAGAGAGTGCACAAGACATTTTGCAAGCTCCCTGCCTCAGTTTCCCCCATGTTAAAGGGAAGGAGTGATGCTGAGACAGAGTTTGCAACATACAGCCTCTCCCCGTTTTACGAATCGGTTACGGACCAAGCAATTGGTCGTAACTCAGTTTGTTCATAAGTCAGACCCCACAGAGTTACACGCAACCACGCTGATCACATTCATAACTCGGAGTCCGCCATTTACGACAGCTTTGGTCGTAAAAGTGAACGGTCGTAAGTCGACCGTTCGCAGCTCGGGGACCGGCTGTATTCAGAATGTTTTCAGCGCCTTAGGTGAAAGGTGCTAGAGACAAACTAAGTCTGATTCTCGGGATTTTACTGTTGATTTGGAGTCACCAGTTTGAACTGTGCAATTTCTGCCTAAGTGCTGAAGGGCCGTGACCAGATTACACCTTCACATCCTGTGCCTCGTGCAGCTCCTCACCAGATAAACCAAGGAATCTGTGTTTGCATTTTCTAAAATGCCACGCACGGGCCCTCCTGTCCCTGCTCCAGGAGACCATTTGTAGGCTTTCTCCGATCTCTCCACAATCCTGGGAGAGGGGGAACCAGGCACCACCGGCTGCACCATGCCCGGGAATCAAAAGCTGCCTGGGACTGAGAGGTCTGTGAGAAAGCAGACAGCCTCCTCCCCAGAGAGCCCAGGGACTGGCTTTGGGAAGATATCCCTGAAGTAGTGTGGGACATTCATTGTGATCTCAGCCTAGTAGTCACCCGGGAGCTCAGAATGTGCTAACTCAGGTTCTTGACCTTCATGCCCTCTGTGGCCACAGGGACAGGACTTCATCTCCTCAGCTGCAGTTCAGAGGTTGCTGTCCTTGTGCAGGGGCTCCAAAGGGGCCAGGCTCCAGCACATCCCTTCTTTGATTATTCTGGCTCTCTCAGCTACAATTCCTCTTGGGGGCTGCCACAAGGCGCATGCTGTTGCAACTCAACCATGCCTTTGCAGGCTGTGATAGACTCACCCCACCACAGCTGGCTGGTGCAGCAGAAGGCAGTCCAGGGCTCATCAAAGGCTCACACCCTGTTCTAATTGGAGCTTCCAGTTTTATGTGTAAAACAGTATTGGTTGATAAAATCTTGCTCTGCCTGCAGGCTCAGTAGGACATGCAGGCCTGTTGGGGGCAGGGGGAGATGCGCAGGGAGGTGCCGCTGCTGTTGACACACACGCAGTCTTCTCTCGCTCTCCTCCATGGACAGGCCACTACATCATTCTAATACCATAGAATATTCTTTATTACAATGGCTGTTTCTAGACCAGCAAGTTTTATTACAATGGCTGTGTCTAGACTGTCTACACTGGCCGCTTGAATTTCCGCAAAAGCACTGACTTCCTTCTGTCTGAAATCAGTGCTTCTTGCGGAAATACTATGCTGCTCCCGTTCGGGCAAAAGTCCTTTTGTGCAAAAGCTTTTGTGCCAAAGGGCCAGTGTAGACAGCTCAGAATTGTTTTGCGCAAAAAAGCCCCATCACGAAAATGGCGATCGGGGCTTTTTTGCGGAAAAGCGCGTCTAGATTGGCCACGGACGCTTTTCTGCAAAAAGTGCTTTTGTGGAAAAGCGTCCGTGCCAATCTAGACACACTTTTCCACAAATGCTTTTAACAGAAAACTTTTCCGTTAAAAGCATTTGCAGAAAATCGTGCCAGTCTAGACCTAGCCAATGTGTTTTACACACCAGTCACTTCTCCCACCACTGAAACGCAGCCGCTTCTTGGCTGGTGCACCGCAGCCGTTCCACAGGGCCCAGCTCTATGAGACCGAAGGGTTTGTACTTGGAATAAAACTGAATCTTGCATCCAAAGTGCCAGGGCAGCTTCAAAGAGTTTTCCCCTGATTTTTTCATAACACAAATGTCATGCACGTAGAAATCCCAAAATCGCCCCTTCCCCGCAGCAGTATCCAGAAGAACAACTCCCTGTCACCGTCCTTTACTCTGAGGAGTCCAGAGCACTGTACAAAGTGCGGTGACATTCTCGTCTCCCGCCGTACAAGTGGGGAAATGGAGGCAGGGAGTGGGTCTGGTTTTCAGCAGTTCAAGGCACCTGCAATGCCTACCATCGTCACTGGTACTCAGGGGTGCTCAGCATCTCTAAAAAGGCCTGTCTCTCCCACTCCGTGAGCTGTGCTGGCCGCTGGACATTGCTGGAGCAGAATGGCACACTCCCCCCACCCACACACTGTCCCAGCCCACCCAGCCTCGACATGAACCTCACACCAGGGGGGTTCCAGTAAGAACACACAAGAGCTGCAGCTAGGGAGCTCGCGGCACAAGCAGACCTGGCTATCTACACCTGCATGAAAGGGACTGGATGGTTGTGCCAGCTTTTAAAAGCTATTGTAATTATATGGACCGGGGGGCGGGGCATAAGCCCTGAGGAGGGGGTATTCCCCCTTAGCCTGATCAAAGCAAACCCTTCTACAAACTAGTCTCACAGCCACTGAGTTCTGCACTGCGGGTGGAGGGGGCGGCTCGGGATTTCTGATCACAGCGGCACCACCTGCCTTCCCCAGCACTAGCTAAGCCTGCCGCTCTCTGGCCTGTGATGGGCGTTCGTGCCTGCTGAAAGCCCACCGCGCACCAGCACGGGGCGCTTTTGGGATCTGGCTGTGTCACTTCCCAGCCTTCCTGTCCTGTCAGCCTCTGCAGTGGAATCGTAAGAGCAAAACCCCATCGATATGTACAAAGCTTACGGCCGGTGGCCCTTTTTCCCTTTTGTGGACCAAGACGTGCCACATAATGAGGCATTCAGCGTGCGGACGGGCTGCTCAGTCATCCACCTTGCTAATGAGTTCTCAAGGAAACCTCTGGAGCATGAAAAGACTCAAGGGACTCCTCATGAGAACAGGGCTGTTACTCAGCACACGAGGACGCTTGGTAAGTGGTAGGGGGTGGGGTGGGGGACCGTTCAGAACCCGCTGAGAAGAAGCAAACTGAATGACAATCGTGCAGCTAGAAGGGAGTAGCTCTTCAAATCTGAGGCATCACACCAAGCCTTGGAGGGGACGATGAAGGAGCTAGCCATGTTAATTGCCACCCTTATCCTATGGCTTTCCTCCTGGCTTTTTCCAGTGAGCAGGGGCACCTGCCAGAGACTTAGTGTATGTCTACACTTGCACCCTCTTTCGGGAGAGGAATGCAAATGAGGGCATTTGAAATTGCAAATTAAGCCAGGATTTAAATATCCTGCACTTCATTTGCATATTCGCATTATGGCGCTATTTTGAAGTAGCGCTATTTCGAAATAACAGATGCTGTTAAGACATGGTTATTTTGAGAGAAAACCCTTCTCTCGAAATAACTGGTAAACCTCATTGTGTGAGAAGGGCTTTCTCTCGAAATACCCGTGTCTTAACAGTGTCTGGTATTTCGAAATAGCGCCATTTTGAAATAGTGCCATAAGCGAATATGCAAATGAAGGGCAGGATATTTAAATCCCAGCTTCATGTGCAATTCAAATATCTTCATTTGCATCCCTCTCGAAAGAGGGTGCAAGCGTAGACATACCCTAACAGAGTAGCGGTAGGAATGAGCGGCGAGAGCAAGGGGCCAACAACTGTAAGGAAGCTGAACCGTCCTTTAAGTTCTGACCTGTCTGTGCAGGACACAGATTGCTCAAGGAAAGGTGAGATGTGAGAGAGGTCGGCAGCCGGTGCGAACGGCCTTTGCTCAGTTGAAGTCAAAGCTGCTGTGCTGATGTATGGCCACCGAGGCTGCAGCCCGGTCGTTCCGTTCTTTTGCTAGGCCAATCCTTGCTTCCCATGCTTTTCAGCCCGTCAATAGGACTCAGACCTTGGTTATAACAGCCCATTGCCCACCGCCTCCCATTCGGCTGCATGTGTTCTAACCCAGGGAGTTTCAAACTTATTTTTCTCACGACCCAGTTGAAGAAAATGGTTGATGCCTGCAACCCAACATAATTATATCTTTCAACGAGAGGGCGCGGCCAAGGGATTTGGAGGCAG